GAAACTCTAAGACTGTCCCCTCACCCTGGCAATGGGCCGCCTTGTCTTATAATTCAGTAAAACACCAGCTGGTCCCAGAGATCAGGAAAGGGAGAGAGGAGGGTTGCTGCTTTCCAGAGCAGCATCTCAAAGATTCACACTGGGGCTTGGAGCTCAAAGGAGTGGGTGTTAGGTTCCCTGGAAAACCGCAGACTGTTGGGCAGGACTTGCTTCCCAGGGTTTCCGGGAATTGAGGGCACCACTGCCTTTGTCTCTGGCTGCTCCACTCACACCTTAGAGAGCCCCAGAGGGCAGTCGAGGGAGGGGTGTCCGCATGAAGAGACCACCAACCAGGCTTTGTGTGAGCAACATGGCTGTTTATTTCACCCGGGTGCAGGCGGGCTGAGTCCCAAAAGAGAGAGTCAGCGAAGGGAGATAAGTGTGGGGCCGTTTTATAGGATTTGGGGAGGTAAAGGAAAATTCCAGTCAAAGGGGGTTGTTCTCTGGCGGGCAGGAGTGGGGGTTACAAGGTGCTCAGTGGGGGAGCCTTTTGAGCCAGGATGGGCCAGGAAAAGGAATTTCATAAGATAATGTCATCGCTTAAGGCAAGGACCGGCCATTTTCACGTCTTTTGTGGTGGAATGTCATCAGTTAAGGCGGGGCAGGGCATTTGCACTTCTTTTGTGATTCTTCAGTTACTTCAGGCCATCTGGGCGTATACGTGCAAGTCACAGGGATGCTTGCACAGGGGATGCGATGGTTTGGCTTGGGCTCAGAGTCCTGACAGTGAGGATCACAGGTTTGGTGCTGGAAGGACTGGGATCCGGGCTGGTTCTGCTGCATAGGAGCTGTGTGGCCCTGGGCAGGTCATGCCTCCTCTAGCCCCTCTGTGAATTAGTTCAGTGGGCATCAGGAGACAGTCAAGCTGGTGGGGCCATCAGCAAGCCCCATGTGATGACAGTCCTTATGAAGGGCTGAGCATCTTCTTGGCAAGTGACAATTGGAATTTATTACAACCACATCAGGGAGCAAAACTGTTGAGCTGGAGGGCACTTAGAAATCTCCAAGCCCAACTCTATCATTTGCAAGATGGGGAGACTGAGGCCCAGAGGACAGACAGATTGTCCTGGGAGAATTGAAGCCTGAGTTGGAGTTCGGACAGCCCCCCTGGCAGCAGGGCTGTGTGCGCTTCTGCCCTAGGATCTGCAGCCTCTAGGTGGGCCTGCTTGGAAAACCCCCAGCCCTGAAGGCTCAGGCTCCTTCCTCCAGGAGGCCGCTGGGTGTGCTGTGTGCAGTCAGGGTGCTCTGTGCAGTTGGGGAGGCTCTTGGAAAATTCCCCCGGCCTTGGGCCAGAAGTACAGCTGCAGAGACAAACAGGATACGGGGTGTCCAGCCACCACGGGGGACAATGGCCAGGAGAGGAAATGTCTCCAGACCCGTGTGTGGATGTGGAGCCCGTCTGGGGGCTTTTTTCAACGCAGCTTCCAGAAAAACAAACACAGGGGAAGCCAAGCGTCTCTGGCCAGGAGAGGACTGTTGTGCCCACTCTGGAGAAGGGGCAGAGGTGTGAGTAGGCTGGAGAACTGGGGGCACCTGCTTTGAGTCTCAGGTCACAGACGGGACACTGAGGCCCGGAGGAGGAGGAGGAGGTGCCACAGGCAGGCAGCAAGTTAACGCAGGTGGTCTTGGGCGCCCACTCCCCACTTCTCTCCACAGCCCCTTGGGGCCATCATCTGAGCAGGGGCACAGGCAGCCCCATCCATGGTGAGGACAACGCGGCCAGGGCACTGGTAGGAGGCACTGACCTCCCAGGGACGTCGGTTCTTCCCCACCTGCCTGTCAAGCGCAGCTGCTCTGTGCTTCTCGCTGGGCCAAGGCCACGGAGAGAACTCGGCGTGGGCACAGAATCTCAGTGCAACTGAGCTGTGCACCTGTGCTCGGCTTGTTGGAAAAGTCCTCAAGTCTAATTTAATCTTTATGATGACTCAGGGCACAGCCACAGAATCTCACGTCCCCGCCTCCCTGACCCCCAGGGCTACTCAGAGGAAGTGACCACCCCTTGAGGTTGTGTTGACAGACGTGTTGGACCCCAGGCATGAATGTGACCCTCGGTGGAGAAGACTTGCTGAGCAGGGGAGGGAGCCACAGAGGCTATAGATGGCACTGGTGGAGGCGTAGGGAGAGGAAGACCTGGAACGGGGTGGTGATGTTGAGTGCGTCTGTGGGCATCCACAGGTCCTGGGCACTGGGGCAGCAGATGCCTCAGGGGTGGCCGCTCACCCAGGAAAGCAGCCCAAACGGAGGAGAGGTGGGTGCCCAAAGTTGCACCCATTCCACAGGAAAGGTGCCAGGAGAATCCAGCTCCCAAAGTGCTCTGGGCTTCGGCAGCGGGACCTTTGTGAAGGGTGGAAGCATTACCCAGTCCCCTGAGACGGGAGGCAGAGGGAGCTGGACAGAGGCTCCCAGCTGGCAGGGGCTGGGCAGGATGAAAGTTGAGCTTTGGTGGGAGAAGGAAGGTGGGAGATGGGGCCGGCAGGTGTCTGCAAGGAAGGGTGGGGTGCTGAGGGCTGGAGTCCAGGAGGGGCTTCAGGATGGGGTCCCCGGACCTTGTATCATCCATCCCCAAGGCCCAAGGAGGGGGCCAGGAGGACACCAGGCTGGAGGGGCTGCAGGCTGCTGGGGTTGAGGGGCTGTGGTTGGGGGCCACTATTTCTAACCACTGTCCCAGGCCTGCATCACAGCTTATGTACCGAGCTGACCCCAAAAGGTACGTCCAGCCTGAACCTGTGAACCTGACCTTATTTGGAAAAAGAGTCTTTGCAGATGTAATTTCCTGAAGGGTCTCTAGATGAGATCATCTTGGGTTATTCAGGTGGACCCCAAATCCAGTGACAGGGCGCTTAGGAGAGACTGAAGAGGAGACAGACACACAGGAGGCGGCTGGGTGAAGACAAAGGCAGAGACTGGAGCAACGCAACCTCCAGCAGAACATACGTGGAGCTCCAGAGGCTGGAGCAGGCAGGAAGAGGCCTCCCCTGGAGCTTCCAGAGGGACTGTGGCCCTTCCCACAGCTTGATTTTGGACTTTTGGCCTCCAGAGCTGTAAGAGATGACATTTCTGCTGTCTGGAGTCCCCAGTTTGTGGCACTTGGTTGTGGCAGCTCCACGAAACTGACAGAGTGACTGCCCCTGGATGAGGCTGGAGACACCACCGTTTTCCTCCTCAGACGAGCCGGGGCTGGGGAGCCGCGTCCCCGCAGGGAACAAGAGCTGGTCTGGGAGCTGCTGCCCCTCTGCCTGTGGGTCAGACTTCCAGATTGTGGCCACTGGGGACTCTCTGAAAGTGTCTTTTGGTGCCTCTGAACCACCCCCCGCAACCCACCGTGTGCTCACCGAGCATGTTGGTGGCATGGAAGGTGGGGCTGGCCAGACCGGCTGGGGAGCCTGGAGGCTGGGCCCCTAAGAGGCTTGGGCCTCACGTGGGCCCTCCCCGAGGTCTTTTCGTCTTTTCGGGGCAGCGAGGGGATGTGCATGGGCATCTGCAGCTGCACCCCCGCTCCCAGGCCCTGGCCTCAGTGAGGAGGAGGGAAGGTGTGACTTTAGGGCTGCCGTGCAGGATGCAGGGACTTGAGGCAAGCGGCAGCCCCTGGGCAGAGCCTGTGATTAGAGAAAGGTGAGCAGGACGGGAGGGTGAGGATGAAGGACGAAGGTGTGGGCTGGGAGGGGCTTTGACCTGAGTAGCTCACCTGGGGTGGGAATTCTCAGCCTGGGGCGACTTCACCCCTAGGGGATCAATATCTGAGCTGTTTGGCTGTTATGATTAGAGGAGGGGGCTACTGGCATCCAGTGGGTGGAGGCCAGGGACCAGCTAAAACCCTCCAGTGCACAGGACAGCCCCCTGCCCTGCAACAAAGAAGGATGCGACCCCAAATGTCAGTAGCGCCTGGGTTGAAAAGCCCAGCCCTAAAGCCCTCAGGACCAGTCAGAACTGGTTCCAGTCTTATCTTCTAGCTGGTCACTGGCCTTGGGCATGTCACATTACCCCCTGAGACTTAGTTTTCCTATCTGTGAGATGGATACGTTACTATTTAACTTAGCAATTATTCTTGGTTTTATTAAACCAGGTGTGTGTAAAGCACCAACCTACCACAGCACAGGATGGAGGGATCCCTCCCATTCCCATTTCCTAGAGCTGGGCTGGAGCCAGCAGCCCACATCCACCACGTGGGTGCTCATACTCCTGTGTTGGCAAGGACATCAGAGCAGGCAGACAGGCGAGGCCAACAGAGTTCAGTTCTGCCTCTTGTCTGAGCTGACGTGAGCCCAGGCCAGGCTTCCTCGGCGGGCAGGGGTGAGATTCCGTGCTTTGGCCTTGGGTCCGCCCGGCCAGGCAGGTTTCTGCTCTCAAACCTGGCTCAGGCCTGGAGCCAGTGGGGGGAGGTAAAGAGGGATGCCCGTTGGGACAGGCCAGGTTTACAAGGAGAGCTGCGGTGAGGCGGAGGGGGGCCCATCTCTTCCCCTAAGTGTTCCCATTGATGGAGCCAGTGGCCCGGGCAGCACCCGGGCGGAGACGGAAGGAACTGCATGTGAGCGTGTGTGTGCATACGTGTGCCTGTCTGTGTGCACACACTTGTGCTCGTGAGTCTCTGTGCCCATGCACATGTGTGTGTGTCTGCATGCGTGTGTGTGTGCATGCGTGTGTGTGCAGGCATGCGTATGTGTGTGTGGGCAGTAAGTGGAAGAGGAACAGAGAGCAGAGCTGAGGCTGGCAGGGCTGGAGGGCCGGTGGCTGGTGGACTTCCCCAATCCCAGCCTAGGCGGGGGACTGGGTGCCCCGGCCTCTAGTACAGAACCTGGGGGCTGGGCAGCGGGCAGGCAGGACAGGGCCTGGAGCCGGTCCAGGAAAGAGCTAATGATCAACCGGCTGCGGTGTCTGTGCAGCCGCGCTGGGCCTGCCTCTCCGTCACCGGCCCTCAGGCGCAGGGAGGAAGTAGGGCAGGAAGCAGGGGGCGGAGGCCGCTGTGCAGTCAGCCTGGCTGTGGGCGGCCCCTGCCTGCTCCGTCCAGCTGGAGACAGCCCTGTGGGGCCAGCCAGCGCTGGGCCAGGAGCGGCCACCTGGTGCCTGCGTGCCACGGTCCTGTGGGCCTGGGAGCTGCCCCCGAGGAGCACGCCTCAGGTACGGGGGGCTCCGGGGCAGGTGGGGTGCGGACGGGCTGAGCAGGCTGCTGTCTGCGGGTCTTGCCACGGTTGGATCTTTACACTTTCTTGAGGACTTTTCTGAGCTGTTTCGGATGGGAGTGGAGCGAAACTGCGAGCTGGGGGCCTCAGGGAGGTCGGCGGCACCCTCAGCAGACCCCACTCAGAGCTCACAGGTGCTGGCAGTGCCAATCCGCAGTGATTACGGGCAATGATTTCAGCTTTGACAAAGCACCCTTGCTTCTGGGACCTGGCTTGACCCCATGCTGACCCTTGCCGTGAGCAGCCCTGGGGGTCTGGGAGCAGAGCCAGCCTGTTGCTGGATTCCAAGTCCAGCGGGTCTTAGGTGTGACCCCAGCCTCCGGTTAGCTTGGGCCACACTGCCAGACCCACCAGGGCGAGCCCAGCGCCTCTAAGCCTCACCCGGCACCGCGGTGGCTGTAACCAGCCACTTTGACGCTGCCACCTTGGTCTCTTTTCCAACAACCAAATGGACCAGCCACTGGACCAGGGGCTCCAGCCTAAAAATTCCAGGGAGGGCCTGGGCCCAGCCTTCAACCGCAGGTGTGCCGGGGCGTGTGGTCCCGTGTGTGTACACCACTGAGTCCCCCTGTGGGCCTGTGCGTGATTCCCCAGGAACCCCGGGAGCCCTGCCCTGTCTGTGAAGCGGGAGTTTCCGACCTTTTGCCGTTGACGAGGCTCAAATGAGATGAATAGGAAAGTGACACAGCGGGGAGTTAGTGGCGTCAGCCAGTGCCAGGGCCAGGGGCAGCCTACATGTGGGCCGGCCACTCAGGGTGTGGCCTCCCAGTGCCAGGCAGCGGGGCTGCGGCTGAGCTTGTGGCTGGAGGCACGGCTGGGCCCAAGTCAGGGTTAGGTTTAGGATGGGTACACGGGGGCTGGGCTCAGACCGCCTGGGTTCAACCCCACCTGTGCTGCTTGGCTGTGTGACCTTGGGCAGGCAGAGTCACCGCAGTTGATGGCTCATTTGTGAAAGGGGCACGGTGGTGCCTCCCTCCTCCAGGTGAGCCAAGGATGCTGTGAGCACCCCGGACAGCCATAATTATGTGACTGTCAACACCGTTGTGACAGCGATGACAACTGTGTCCCGTGTCGGGCACTGGGCCAGCGTTTTATGCACGGAGACATCACTCACTCTTCTAGCAACATGAGTGAGGATGGCCGCACAACGCAGAAGAGGAAGGCAGGGCCCAGGAGTGCACGGCTGCGCCGGTTTCCCGCGCTGCCAGAGCACATGGCAGAGCCCTCTTGGTCATGTTCTCTCGCAGCTCTAGAGGTCGGAATTCCGAACTCAAGGTGTCCCTCAGAAGGCTCCTGGGGCGGCTCCTCCCTGCCTCTTCCCGCTTCCTGTGGCTCCGGGCGCTCCTTGGCTGTGATTGCATCAGTCCACTCTCCACCCTGGTGGTCACGTGGCCTCCTCTCTGGTTGCTCTGTGTGCCTCCGTGTCTTCTCTTTTACTCACAAGGACACCAGGCACAGGATTTAGAGCCATCCTCACCTGGAACACCCTCATCTTAAGTGAAGGTCACTTCGTCTGCACAGACCATTTTCAAATAAGGCCCCATTCTGAGGTTCCTGTGGGCATGAATTTTGAAAGGACAGTGTCACCCCAGGATGCGAGGTGACAAGTCAACACTCCAGAGGTGCTCGGTGGCATAGGTGAGGTCTCAATGACCCTAGAAGTATTTGTTCAGTAACAGCCTGGCGAAAGCTTGGCCAAAGCTTCCCAAAGCCGTTCAGGGCCGGCCCGGGCCCTCTCCCTCCTTCTTCCAACCCACACTCACCAAACTCTGACTGTGGACCAGGAGCACTGTCCCTTTTACCCACTCGACCCACTTGTGCGGTGTGCGTGCTCATTCTCATTTTCTGGCTCAGTAAATTGAGGCATGGAGAGGTCTCCCAGAAACCAGGGTTTGGCCCCACGTCTCCATGTTCTGGAGCCAAACTCCGCCCCTTCCCCTGGAGCTGGAGGCTGGCCTGGGGCTGGGGCCTGTTCTGACCCATCCAGGGCCCTCCAAGGGTTTGTCCTGATGATAAACTGAACAAACAGGATAAAGGCAGGAAGGAGACAGTCCTGCAGGCTGCTTGGTGGTCCCCCAGCTCGGTGAGCTGGCCCCTGGGAGCATCAACACCTACCCGTGGTTGGGGCCTCTGCTTGTGCAGTGGTGGCTGGGCCTGCAGGGCTGAGGGAGGGGACGCTGCGGAGACGGAACTCACTTCCTCATCGCCAGGCTCTGCACAGGAACCCCACGCTTAGGGTTGTAACAGCAGGTGGGAAATTCCCTGAGCCCGGGGAGCCCTCCTTTTCTCAGGAGACCGTCTCTGAGCACCGGCTGTGTGCCAGGCCCATAGAAGCCCTGGATGACATTTCGAACAGGCCCGTTCCTAACCCAGGGGGAGGTGGTCTGGGAGGCAGGCAGGTGTCCCGGGCATCAGCCAGTGGATGCAGAAAGGCTGCTGGGACTCCTGCTCTGCTTACAGGGACATGAGACCTGGCTCCTGAGGGACAAAGGCAGAGATGGGAGGACGAGGACCCCGAGGTCAGGCATTGGGAGCAAAAGACCCCCTAAACCAGGAAGCTCACACGCCAGCGAGTGGACCCCAGCGCTTTGTCGAGACCCCTCCATGTGCTTCCGGAGATGAGATGGGAAGACAGCCTGGCCTCGCAGGCAGCGGCTTCCTGGTGCTGCCACAGACCCCGGGCCAGGTGGTGGGCACAGGCAGCCACAGGTACCAGGACTGCAGTCCTGCAAAGCAAGGAGGAGAAAGCGAAGTCTGAGGCTGGCAAGGGCAGCCAGAGCGTCCCGCGCTGTCCCTGAAGGTGCCCAGAGCTCTCCAGGCGTGACCAGGGTCCCAGGACATGGGAACAGGGAGGGTGAAGGCCCCAGGCTGCACAAGGCATTTGATCAGTGAGGCCACGTTCCATGTCCACAGTTCCACGCACGCTTCCTCCTTTGGAAAGCGTCTTACGGGCTGCACCCTGCTCCCACTCCTGGGCGAGCAGTTTCCCTGAAGGGTCTCTTGGGCGCCTCTTGGCGTCAGATGTCTCCTGATTCACCATTCCCGGCCCCCAGAGGTGGTTGGGGGGTGGGAAGGATTTGGCCACAAACTGACCAATCAGGTTACAGTTGGAGCAGGTGTGCTGGTGGGAGGGGGTGTGCCGGGGCCACTTCACAGCCAAGAGCTGTCGCCTCTGCAAGCCTTGCTGGCCCGGGGCTGGTCTGGCTGAGGCCCTGCGGTCTGAGGTCCCCAGGGAGCCTTCCCTGACTGTGAGATTCCCTCCTCGGCCAGGGCTAGGGGACCCTCTCTATGCCTCATGGAACCTGCCTCACGGAACCGTCGCTATTCTGTCTAAACTCAACTTAGCAGGTCTGGGTCTTCCTCCCTCTGTGTTCCCACTGGCCGGCTCAGAGCTGGCACAGCACAGGGGTGGGTGGTGGTTGTTGAAACCAAAGACTTTAGACGGTGGGCTCCTCCTGCCCCTGCTCTGCTGATGGAGCCCACAGTGTGCGGTGAGCTGGGGCCTGGGAGGCCGGTTCTCAGGGTGACAGCCACAGCTATGGGGGCAGGGGTGATGGCTGGGCTTACATGACACCCACTTGTCCCTGCCTGCAGCTGACTCGCCCCCCCATGAAGGTTTCCTCGTTCTGTACTAAATGTTACAGGAGAGCGGCCTCTTGGGGAGCCTCTGTGAAGGGAGCTGTCGCCGCAGTGGTGGCCCGAGCCAAGAGCAGTGCGGGGATGGAGGAGGTGCTCACGGGTGGGGAAGAGGCAGCAGGGATGGCAGCTGCAGTGTGTGCTTCTGCTTTGGTCTGCCGGGTGTGCGGGTGCACGTGTGTGTGTGTGTGCGCGTGTGTGTGTGCGCACGCGCAAGCGCGCACAGGCAGGAGAATTGCCTGACCCCTCAGAGCCTCGGTTTCCCCATCTGTGTACTGGGGAGGTAGGCCTTCCTCGGGGTTGCTGGGCCAAGGCGTCTGGCAATGGGAGGTGTGCCAGTTGACACCCACTGTCCTGGGAGTCCTGAGGTCAGTCTTGACTGTCTCTGGGTTTTCAGGCTCAGAGCCTTGGGGGAGGGCTGGGGGTGCTGGGGAAGGAAGCCGGGCTCTGTCTGTGCTTGATGTATGGTGAGATTTTCCGTGCTGCTGTCTGATGCAGGCTCAGCTGCCCCTGTTTGGTGAAAAATTGAGGTGGGGAAGAAATAAGCCCAGCACTCCCGCCGCTCCTGCTTCTGATTTCCCCGCCCCTGCGAGACATTCTGAGCAGACGCTGGGACAGACTTTCCTACGTGTGGACTCGACCCCCTGCTCCTGGCTTGAAGCCCCCAGGGATGCCTCTCTGCCTTTCCTGGGTGCTGGATGTCCAGGGCCTCCTGCCTTCCCTTCACAGCCGCGTCCTGTGTCCCTGACTGCAGACCCCACGTACCCCCAACAGCTGCCCGGTTTGCCTCCCAGTCCTCTGCCACATTCCCTGCCCAGAGACCAGGGTGGAAGTGGGAGATGGGGCAAGGACAGGAGGCTCTGGGGGTTGTCCTGGCCGCTGGCAGGCCCCAGCTTGGTGGGCCCATCAGGTCTCTGAGGCCCGGACAGAGGCCCTGGCAAGCCCTGGGTGCCTGGTCCCCCAGCGTCCACCACAAAAGTGGTGACGGGACAGCAGGAGGCCAGACTTGCACTTTTGCCTCCAGACAGAGGTCAGAGGCATCGCTGCCCCGGTTCTCCATGCCCTGCTTGCAGAGGGGATGTTTGCTGACCACTGGGGGCTTCAAGCCAAGAGCAAGGGGACGAGTCCACACGTAGGAAAGTCTGTCCCAGTGTTTGCTCAGAATGTCTTGTGGGGCAGGGAGATGGGAGGCAGGAGCTGCAGGGGACACTGGCTTATTTCTTTCCCACCTCACATTTCACCAAGGAGGGGCAGCGGAGCCTGCGTTAGATAGCAGCAGGGAAAACCTCACCACACGTCAGGCACGGACGGAACCCCTTTTCCTTCTTCTGCGTCCCCATCGCTCCCTGAGGCTCTGGACTTGAAAACCGCCCTGGCCATGGCATTCTAGTGGGGCAGGGTGGACCTTCCTCCACTCACAATCAGGGAACAGTGAGGCCCCCCATGACCAAGCCCTCCCTGTAGGGACAGCAGGGTCCTGATACTGCGCTTGCCGTCCTCCCCGCTTGTCAGCCTCTCTGCCTGAGGCCGGAGCTGAGGAGGACACGGCTGACCCCATCCCCGTGGCCACAGCTGGGATTTGTCCCCTGTGTGCCTCAGCCCTGGCCCCGGCTGCCGTCCCCATGGGCCCTGCGCCTGCATGTGACGCCGGAAGGGGGACTCTGTGTCCTTCTGTGTCTTCAGGCAGGCAACGGAGCACTGTCCCGGGAGCACAGTCTGTCAGGCATGACGGCCTAGCAAAGAGGCAGTGACCGGCCCCTGAGGAGGGGCCCAAGACACCCAGGGGCTCTGCCTCGATGGGGAAGGGGCCTCCAGGCAGAAAACCAGTGAGTGGAGGCCCTGTGGAGGAAGGGAGCACAGCACACCCGAGATGGGGAGGGAGGCACAGCGGCGGTGCGGGATCACACCCACCACAACACCGCACACGGTCACCTGCTGCGGTGAGGGGCCCGCTGGGTCTGAAAGGTGCAGGCGCTCAGCAACGCTGGCGTTCTCTCCTCTGGACCCCAGCCTTGGACACAGCCTCTGTGCTGGTTCTGGCGGGGGCCGCCTCTCCTGACCACACCCACTCTGTCCACAGGGCCAGGCATGTGAGGCCGCCGCGGGTCATGGAGAACCTCCCTGCTGTGATCACTGAGGAGCCGACCCCCATGGGGAGGGGTCCCGTGGGACCCTCAGGAGGGGGCAGCAGCCGGGGCCACGTCTGGACGATGACCACGAGGCCCTCTGTGAGCTGGGAGAAAGCGGGGCCTGAGGAGGCCAAGGCACCGGGGAGAGGCGGTGAGTCCATCCCACCCACTTGTCCACCCCACCTGCCCTGTCCGTCCGTCCTTCACCGCCCTGTCCGCCTCCAGGCCTCCTGGGGTAAGGGCTGGGGCTGGGGCTGGGGTCTGCTCTCCATCACTTCTCGTTTCCTTCCTCCGCGTGTGTTTACTAGAGCCACTGTGCCCGCTGAGTCACTTGAGAGGCCAGAGCCCAGCTCGTGTTTTTCCAGGGACAGGTCAGTGATAACAAAGCTGGCAAAGAACGAGACAGGGGCATTCGAACCCACATGTTCAGAGACCATTCCAGAAACAGTCCGATGGGTTTGGCCTTGGAACCCCTGAGGGTCCTCAGGACGAGGCATCCTCATTCCCCAGGAGGCACCCAAGGTGCAGAGAGGGAAGGGCTGGGCCAGGCCACCCTGCAGTCAGGGGCCGGGCCAGGACGCATGCCCAGTCTCCTGAATCCCTGGGAAACCTGAAGGGTGGTCTAGGTGATCTCCAGGATCCCATCTTACCCTCATCCTGAGACCCTGAAGGGGAGGAGGGGAGAGGCAGGGGACACCAAGGCCTGCAAGCCTCTCCCTGGCTGGAGACAGCTGCGGCTGTGACCCCGCCCTGGGCCGCCTCCTCCCAGTGTCCAGCCTCAGCCTGGTCTCCTCTTAGCTGCCCACGTCCCTGTCTCGGGACTCCAGGGCTTGGCACATGGTAGGTGCTCCGTCACTGTTCAAGGGATTGATGAACGAAGGATGTGTTTGGACAGTGGCGTGAAAACCTCAGATGCCGTCGTGGCCCACAGCCGGGTGTGGGAGAGTTTTATACTTGCAATCCTGCCCTTCCGCATGAGGGCGGAGATGGGAAGGGGTCGATGGCCTCCTGCCCTGAATCACAAAGGGGAAGTGGTCTGCAGGCACCAGCCTGCCCGGCCAGGAAGGGCGGCTCAGAGGTTTGGGGCGGGGCCTGGGCCTGGGGAGCCCACCAGGCCACGGAATCACGTTCCCTCCAGGGCAGGCCTCACAGAAAGGAAGGGGCTGGGCCGTGCCCAGGGCCATGAGTGCACAGAGCAGGAGGGCCCTGGCCAGCCTCCCACAGAGCCGCGGGGCCCAGGGAGGAGCTGGGAGCCTCTGGGAGTGGGAGTGGCGGGCGTTGGAAGCCTTTGCCCTGAGTGGCTGGGTATTTCTTCCTCCAGAGGCTCAGCAAAGCACTGTGGCATCGCCTCTGCCTGGAGCGAATCTCTGTGGGCCCAGCGCAGGGGAGCTGAGGAGACTCTCCCTGCTTAGGAGGCTGGGTGGGTCGAGGGAAAGCTGGCTTGGGGTGGGGCTCCTCAGCTCCTTCACCTCCTCGTCTTCTCTGGGCAATTTCAGGTGGACATCAAAGGTGGCAAGAAATAGTGCAGATAATTCCATTTGCCCACACCCAGATTCCTTGAATGTTCACGTTTTATGACTTTTACTTTGTGTGTGTACTTGTGTGTGTGTGTGTCTGTGTGTGTGTGTGTGTGTGTGTGTGTGTGTCTGTGTGTGTGTGTGTGTGTGTGTGTGATTTTCTTCTGATCCCTTTGGGAGTAAATGGCAGACACGATGCCCCTTCATCCTAAAAGGTGTCCATATTTCCTAAAACCAGGACGTTCTCTTACATAACCGCATTGTAATTATTTCAATGTTAATTTCCTGGTTTTAATAACACCATCACCTCATCTGCAGGCCTCATTCAGATCTTGCCATTTATCCCAATAATATCCTTTATAGCAAAAAAAATATGTATATATATTCCTGGGTCACACCTTGTATTCTGACGCGACCTCTCTGAGGTACCTTTTAATCTGGAGGCTGCTGTTTTGAAGATACAGTTTGGATCTTTGTAGAATGTCTCTCGATTTGAGTGCAGCCAATATTTCTTCACGATCACATTAGAGATTTGGGCAGGAATCCCACAGAAGCAATGTTTCTTCAGTGCAGACGATGTCCATTAGTCTCTGGCTGGTGATGCTAATTTTGGTTCCTTGGGAAAGGGGCGGCTGCCAGTTCTCCCCACTGCACGGTTATTTTTCTCCCCTCTGCAGTTAGTAAGTAATTGGGGGGACGACACCCTGAAACTGCGTGAATATCCTGTTCCTTGTCAAACTCGTGAAGCTCTACTGTCTCATCATGGGCTGGCCTGGCTGAAATAGTCCTTGCGACAGACGCTGCCAGGCGGTGACTGTCTAATGAGGCAAGCCTTCTCCATTCAGCGGGGTCTGCTCTCCATCACTTCTCGTTTCCTTCCTCCGCGTGTGTTTACTGGAGCCACTGTGCCCGCTGAGTCACTTGA